AAAAAAAAAAAAAAAAAAAAAAAAAAAAAAAATAAGTAGAGCTATCTGCACGCCAGTAACAAAATATATAAAACTGTTTCTTCTCCTGTTCGTTGTATAAAGCACGTGGGATGCGTGATTAGTGAAGCGGTTAGAAACTTCGTTCAGGGGAACACGTCCGAGGGAGTATAACATTGCTTCTTTTCTTCTTTTCCTCTTCCCTGGCGAAGGTACGTAATTTGTCACCCCAAGGCGGGCAGAGACTCGCTAGATTAAAAAAAAAAAAAAAAAAAAAAACAGCACAATCAGCAGAAGCGGCAAATGACATTTATGTACACATAAATGGAGAGGGGCCTTATGGTATTAAACGAATGGAAGAAAACCCCCCTCTGTGCAAAGTACGTAGGAAATTTCCCCACCGGTAGAATCAGATTTTTACGTGCGCATCGTGGCCGCCAAGGGGACATCGCATAATTGGTTCACCATAGTATATAAACAAGCTTAGCGGCGCACAAACAGTGGACTTAAAAAAAAAACAAAAAAGGGGGGGGTGAATTGAAGCGATTAGGAGGTAGTCATCCATACAAGTCCGTACTCACACACATTGTTGCACTCAAGTACACATCGAGAGAGGAACAATGAGGGCGGGAGGCGGATTCTACAAAGGCACCAGTACGGAGCAGACACCCTATTTTGGGGATAAGGAAAAAAAGCTAATTGAAAAAATGACTTGGCCCGAAATTTATAACCAAAAGATAGACCTCACCAAGATCAACTTAGATGTGATAGGAAAATGGATTCACAAAAGGCTCATTGAAATTTTAGGGTTTGAGGACGACATATTGTATGAGTACTGTGTCTCTCAGTTGAGACTCGACCAGGAGGGCACCGGTAAAACATCCTCGACAACGCGGAGTGCATGATTAGAAGCGTCAACCCCGTGTGTGCTAGCTATTCCTATCCCACGCTACGCGCTACACGATACGCGTTACGCACTACACGCTGCGTGCTACCCGTTCCTCCCCTCGACAGACGACGAGAACGAAAAATTCTTAAACTCGAAGAGGCTGAAAATAAATCTCACTGGCTTCATTGGTAAAAGGCAGAGGCGGAGCAGTGTAGCGAAGTTAATCTCGCCGTGTTGATAAAAAAATGAACATGAATGGAGTAACGATGGAAGTGACCCCGTTGTATGTACTTCCCCCCTCACACACACCACGTATATATGATCCACCGCTTCCACTTCACCGCAGGAAATAAAAAAAGCGAAGTCTTTGTTCAAGAGCTACTAGAACTTATCATTTCGAACGAGCAAAATGAGGAACAAATGGTGGCATCCCAAATCGAAACAAAACGAATAGAAATGGAGCAAGTCATAAAGGAAAATGAACTCCTTCAAAATAATATTCATAAATTGAGGAGTATATACACAGGTAACAGGGGGAGGCAAAAATGGAAGAAGCTCCGGAGGCTACTCTTTTTTTGTACTTCAACGCATGTGTGTATTGCTTCTTTCCTCATAACCGCCCCTCGTATAGAAAATGCTAACCGGAAACACCCCATAGTAGTGGAAAACGTAAGCAGAAAAACGGATGACTCAAATGGAAGGCCGCTGAACCTAAACGGGACGTCACCACAATCGAACAAACAGATCGGTGGAGACTCTCCCAAACGAAGTGATCACATGCACAACAAGAGGAGGAAGAAACCAATTAGATCTTCTACTCCTGAATCGTCTCACTCCACGAGCGAGCTAGACAAACACACAAATTATAAAAGAAGGAAAAATAAAATATATGTTAAAAGGGGCAAACATCATAGTGATGAAGATACGTCCAATGGTGGAGAAGAGGAGGAGCGGGATGACCCCAGCTCTATTGAAGACTCCTCTTCCGATGAGCCAATGGAAGAATGTAAAAAAAAAAAAAAAAAAATTCGTAAACATATGTCGAGTGTAGATTTATATAGTTCTAGTCGTGAGCGTAGCAGTGACAGGCATAGGGGGAAAATGGATTTGCAAAGAGAAAGGAGGAGGTGGCGAGATCGGGGCAGTAGCCGCGACAGGGATAGAAATAGAAGAAGGGACAGAAGTGGAGGACGGGATAGGAGTCGAGGACGAGATAGAAGTCGAGGAAGGGATAGGAGTCGAGGAAGGGAAAGAAGTAGAAGAAGGGATAGAAGTCGGGGAAGGGAAAGAAGCAGAAGAAGGGAGAGGCATCGAGACAGGGAGCGAAGCCCGGATACAAGGAGGTGCCACAGGGAACGCAGAAGAAAGTCCAGCGAGACGCCCTCCGACGCCAAGTCAAGCATTGCATCAAGCAGCAGCATAAGCAGCATCGAGAGGGGCTATACAACGAGAGAAAGGCGAGGTAAGCATGGACACCCCCGCAGAAGTGCCAATGCAACCAAGTCGGATGGAAGAAGTAGTTCGTCCGTCTCCCTTTCACCTTCGTCCTCAGGGACGGTAAAGAATAAACATCGAAGAGAGTTGGACACGGCGAATGACAGAAATGGCAGAGGCTCCGTGAAAGAGTCTGATGACGACAGGTAGAAATTAAGATTTATTTTGAGCGCTTCGCGGGCGTCCACCAACTGGTCCCCTTTGAGCTACGTCGTATCGTTGTATAGCTGTATCGCGTTGCGCCGTGACGCTGCTACGTCCATGCGGCCCCGACGCGAAGTAGTTTACGAGTCGAACAGAAAAAACATTCACCGTCACCTCAGCTAGGCAGTCCTTCATTTTTTTTTTTTTTTTTTTTTTTTTTTTTCGTTCCGCTCCGTGTGCGCAACGATCGTTTTGCGAGATAAATCATTTCCCATTTCCCCACTCCCTTATCAGTACCCGAAAATCATCCAGAGATTCCAAAGCGAAAGAAATTCACAACATAATGAAAAGGAAAAGCTACAACAGTAATAAAAAGGGGCTTCGGGCTTGGTCTCCCTCCGAGAGTGAGAATGGGTAAAAGCGTTTTTAGGTGACGTGTTTTTGTGTGTGTGTGTGTGGCGCGACATGCCAACAACAACATGTGCCACCACAGTTGTATAGTACTCAACAACTACACGCAGTTTAAAGGAGACAAATTTCATTTTGTCGAAAAAAGAAAACTCGCTCCATATGTGAAGAAGCAAATGGCGAAATGGGGAACACACAAGGGGGTGACGCGTACACCGCTGCATCTCTGCTTGTACGTTCCCCACGAGGTGCCCTCCTCAGCCATTTCGCCCACGTACGTGTGCACAGCTCCGGCAAATTAAAATTTTTTAGTGTGACCCGTTTCTTTAAAAGCGGGAAAAATAAGAAAAAAGAGAAAAATGTCGCAAGTGAGAAAAAATTACAAAAGTAAAAAAAAAATGGACAAAGTGGACAGAAATGGGATTTAGCAAAATGGGTAACCTTTCCCAGTTGCTTAATTATTTTTTCTCTTTTTTTTTTTTTTTTTTTTTTTCTTTCCATTATGCTTCTCCCCTTGCACTTTAAACACGTGAAAGGTGTAGTATCGTGGGGGGGCTCAAATTTGCAAAACTATATTCATTTTGTATGCTTTATTTTTTTCCCCTGTGGCCCCCCACATCTTTGCCTGATTCATATTATAACGCAGTACTTGTACACAACGCGCAGCGCATAGTGCACAGTGGTATTGTAACCCCAGTGAAATTTTAAATACTTGAATCCAAAGGGACTTAAATTAATTAACTTAAAATATATTTTGTCGAGTTCGTACTTCCCATTTAATTCCTTTATCCTGGACTCCAATGACATAATCACAGATTTCGTTATTAAATACCTGAACACTAAGCTTATGAAGTAGTGGATGAAGGACCCTAAAAAGATGCATGCAAATATAAAGGAAGTGTCCAAGTCGTTTTGGAAGTGAAAGAATATGAAGAGTCCACAGAAGCTTAGGAACATCAGGTTGCACGAAATTGTCGACATGAACAGGGTGGAAGTCCTGCGGCGGGGAAGGAAAATATTAGAGTGGGATTCATATATATACATGCACATATATACATATATGCACATACATACACATACACATATACATATACATAGTATACGTAGGTGTGAACAATCATATGCGCGTCACAAACGGGTAGAAGCTTGCACACCCGTTCGCACATGCTTATATGTTCCCTTCCTACGAACGGGAAACAATTTACAGAAATAAATTATAACCATGGAACCATCGATTTCATTAGCAAGTTTAGGTCGTCTATTTCCTTCTGCATCTTCTCGGGGGGATATAAAAAACGTGTGTCGTTGTTCCATGGCTTAAATTTATAAACGTACGTGGACAAGGACACGTGCATTGGGATGTCTGTGTACTCATACACCGCCACGTCATCTTGGGGCTTCCCGAATTCGGAGTTCAGCATTGTTATCTCGAGCGAGGTGGTTCAAGGTTTGTGTGCATATATATGGTGCCTTGTGGGCTTCTCCTAATGGGAGCCAAACCTGTGCCCCTTTTCTTCGTTACGAGTGTCAGCGTAACGCTTTGCACTTGTGTTCTTTGCAAAACGGGGGAAATAATAAATAAAACAAAATAAAAATAAAATAAAAAGCGTAATAAATTGAACAAGAATATGGACTACATAACAATTTGCTCAACAGTTGTCTTCCCGGTGGTTGGTAAAAGAACTCGGCATTTTTTGTTACGCCCTAGGAGTAAAAGCCATATGTTGCTGATTTCCTTTTTTTTTTTTTTTTTTTTCGACATACATTTTGGCTAGCCCAACCAACAAATTCTGCAAAATCATCTTGCCGGCAATATGTTTTTTGCTTTTTTTTTTTTTTTTTTATGAACGTTCATATTTTTGGGGGACAAATTAGAGAGAACGCATCCATATTTGGCTAGTTGCTACCACTGGGTTGCCACCAAATGTGCAGTAAAAATCGCCCGGGAAAAAAAAAAAAACAAAAAAAAAAACAGATCAGTAGTACAGAATTTTCCACTACGGCAAACGCCGCGTTGAGCTGACACATTTAGACGTCTTTTCGACGTTGTTGTTTGTCCGTGTGCTGTCCACATGGTGTCCACAAACCTTGCCCCATTTTGCGCTTCGGAGCAGTTCGAAAAAAAAAAACAAAAAAAACAAAAAAAAAAGGAACCCCAAAAAAAGGGGTGCACAAAAGTGTTCTTAAATGAGCGTGCACAAACGCTTGTGACCTGGCTCAAAACGCAAAAGGGATTTGCCCTTTGCGGTGCCCCTCAGCCAGGACGGCGCCACGGTTTTGCGGCGCTGAATTGGGTAGGAAGTAAAAAACGGATAAGTCCCTTGCACACACACCTCTTCTCTCTCCCCTACACGTACCTCTGTGCAATGGGCGCCCGATAAATCTGCGACGTGAGCGACTTGGAGCGATCCAGCATCTTGGCGTAGTTATCGCGCATCGTTGTGAAGTCGCTTTTGAAGCTGTTTGAACTGTTCACGTAGTTTCGACTGGCATTGCTGTTCAGGTCGTTTATGTCCAGCGCCCGTGAGTGTTTATTTGTATACATGTTTAAGTTCGATTCAATCGATTTTGGTACGTTGCGCGAGAAGTTACTCACACTGTCCATATTTATTAGCGGCGTGTTAGAGCTGTTATGTCGATCCACAGAGTTGAAGTGCATGTTTCTATCCCTCATGAAGAAGCTATTTCTAGGTCTCACAAGGAACTGCTTATTATCATGGTCCACACCTCCTCCTCCAATGACGTGAATCATGGAGCCTTCTTCAGACGTGTTATTCTTGTTGACGCTGCTACTTACGATGAAGCTACTATTGTTATTCGTATCGGCAGTGTAATGCTTTCTCTGACCGAGTGTGCTGTACTTTTGCAAAGAAAGGTCCTGTGTGTAGTTATTACCATTCGATGGATTCCTCGGAGCAAATTTTGTTACACTTTGCTGGCCATGGTGGTCATACGTGGGAACAACTCTGCTGTTAAAGATTTCCTTCTGAGGCATGGTTGGGTTTAGCAGGATGGAGCTCATCCTCCGTGCGACGTATTCATTCTGTGTTAGCGAATTCTTCAAATGGTTGTTAACGATTTCTTGTTCAGCCTTATCAATATTTTCGAGGACGCTGTTCGGGGCGTTGCTCCCATTGCGGTCATTACTGTTAAGGCCCTTTTTGGTGAAAATATTACCATGGGCAGTTAATTTCCCCCCAGGGTGATATGCACCCATAATGGTATTAACATTACTCATGGCTCTCTTCGACTCGGTTCCGTAGTAGTTTAAGTCATCTTTGTGTAGAAGATCGGCATTTTTTTCAAATCTCCCTCTACCGCTTCCACTTGCATGGGCCCTCGTATGTCGGTGGCCCCACATGTTCGCGCTGATTCTATTAGAATGTTCCGCATCGTAAAAACTTCTCCTCCTGTATGTTGTTGTTGGCTCATTGTCCATTCCTATACCTAAATCCTGCGCACTGCTGAGGGCACTATTCCTGTGGTTATTTTCGGTCAAGCTATTGTCTTCTTCCTCTCGTTCGTATTGTGCTGTTTTTCTGGTTTGTACCGTATGCCCAGATGTTCTCGCCACCCCCGTCTCCCTCTTCAAATAGGCTCCTTTCACTGGGTCTCTGAGCAGAAGTTGCTCCCCCTGGTGATAACGTGTCGCGTTGCTAAGGCTGCTTCTCCTTCGATGGTTGCTGATGCTCCTCGCGCTGCGTTCGCCCAAGCGCTCACCACGGTCATCATTAATGCCGCTAACATGGTCAACCCCGATATGGGTACCGTGTCCTTCCTCTTCGCCAAGGAAGTTTAGGCTTCCCCGTCTGCTTGCCCCGCTGGGGCCATTCACATTTTCTACGCTGTTGCAGTAGGTGCTATTCGTCGCCTCCTTTCGGTACTGATACAGGTTGCTCTTCCCATTAGGACCGACAACACACAGGCCCTTTTCAGCTCCATACCCTGCGGCATTCCCTCCACGGACGACGCCCACATGGTTGTCATCCTCGTTTGGCCCCAATGCATCCACCAGGTCGTGCTCATCAGTCCTGTTCCCAAACACTTGGCTGTTCTTTCTACTCGAGTAGGTATTTTTACCCAAAACATTTCTCCCTCTATTATCCTCATGCTCATTTTGCTTCACGTTGTAATAATCTTCCCTTTCAATCAACCCCGAGATGTTGTAATTATCAGCGTCCCCATTATGGTGTGGAGCTGTCTCTACAGGAAGTAAAGCTTCCGCCCTCGGATATTTTTCATCGCAATAGGAACGTAAATAGGGAATCTTGTTTTGGTAACTCCTAATCCCTGCGTTAATTTCATTCATTAGTTGCAAGTTGATACTGATGAAGTTTTCCTTGTTGTTTAAATGGAAAGAATTTTCATTACTGATGAGTCCCTTGTTGGAGTACTCATAATACAGTTGTTCTGCCATCTCCAAAATGTAATCTTTGTTGTGGCTTTCGTTTATGGTGATTTGTTCGTCAATTTGTTTCAACTTGGAGAGAGCTAAGATGATATCATTTGTGTCTATGTCTTTGTATACATCGTCGTTAAAATTTTTAATTTGGCTTCCCAAGAGAGCCATTATGCTATAGTTGTTCTTCCTGTTGCTCAGTTCGTTAAAGTCGATGCTTTCATTTTGCAGCTTGTGCTTGTCTACCAGTGCAGACAGCACGCTGTTGATTTTGTACTTTTCAAATATCTCTCCATGGTAGTAGTTCAGCTCGAGCATCTTCATTGTTATTTTTTTGGTTGCTTCTCTTTTGCCTTCCCAGGGGAAGCGCATCTGTCTGCGGTTAACGCGTTCGTGAGTGCACGCGGGTTGGTATGCATACGTAGGAACATGCGTACTTGCGTGAATAGCACAGCATAGCATGCACTTTGCCAAGCAGCCGCGCACACACAACGGAGAATTCTCCACTCACGCGAGGTGCCCCCCGTCCTTTTGTGTGTACAAACTAATCTGGGAATTTCCCCCGGGAAATGCAGCGATCACAAAAAAAAAAATTTAAAAAACAATAAATAAAATATAGTAAAATTACAAATGGGAGGAAGTCTGCTCATGCAACTGCATATCGTACGTCCGCACGGGAGAAGATATTTAAGGGCAACGAATCTCCAGCGAGGAGATCATTCGATGCACAATAAAGCGAGTTTTTTTTCGCATGGGAACAAACAATTGGGAAGGATGACAAAAAAAAAAAAAAAAAAAAAAAAAAAATACTCGTTAAAAATGCACGCACATACGTATGCTCTTATGGCAATTCCACACTATGGGTGACAATTCTGTTTTCAGCCACGATTTTTACACTTACATGGGGGATAATTATATGTGTGTTCTTTTTCCATTTGGGCAGTGCAAAGGAATGAACAGCACATTGCGTATTCTATGCGGCGTAGGGAGAAAAACCTTTTTTTTTTTTTTTTTTTT